CGGTAGTTCGTCAGAGTAATTTTGAATATGCTTAATGATGCGCGCAACTTTGGCTGTTGCAGAGAGCAATCGGGCGAGTTGTTTATGGTAAACAAAGAGTTTGGACTTCGAGCTGTCAAGTACAACTTCCCCAGCTTCCGAAACGTTCAGAAATAGATGGAGGAGTTCGTTCTTTTTTTTGGAAAATAAACTTGAATTGATCAGCTGTAGCTCTACTGCTTCAATCGGTGTTCCACAATGTAGTCCCAGAGAAAAGATTAAAGTTGACCAATCGATCACAAAATGCATGAGTTTGAAAAATAACAAAGTTTTAATTGAATACTTCCACAAGTTTTCACATTAAGTTACCAAGAGCATTGTACAATGCGTTTGTTTAATATTAAGATGGTGACTGAACTTCGAAAGGTCAGAAGTTGTAGTCATATGTGATATTTATGTATTGGGTTGATGATTACGTTTAACATAGAAGCATCGACAAAACACGATGCTTCAGGGTAGTTACCACGTAGTAGGTCTCAAATTCTATCCACAATCATAATTTCAATTATCTAATCACAATCATAATCATACCATTTCAATTTCTGATACTGGATTTGCTCAGCGTGCCACCAGTTGCTTGTAATCTTTGAGGGGAACACGAACAATCAAATCTAGGCTGAAGTTGAGCACCTGAGCACCATTGGCATAGAATCCGCATCACTGAGTTCGCATGTTCGAGCATCAGCAAACTTTACCATGATCCGTAGGTTCCGGCAAGTTGCGAAATGGAGCATATAGTTAGTTCTTTAGTTCGCCATGGCAGACAGTAACGATCCATTTTTCTTATGAAATTTTTCTTCATTCGCAAATTGTTCCTTTATTGGCTTATTTTCTTGTTTGTATTTAGCTGTTTTGCTGTCAGCTCATAGTTGAATGGAGAGATATATGGCCTTTCGTTTTATATTTGCAGGCATAGCTCAAATAATCCAGTCTCAAAGTTCGTCGTGCAGCGCTAACATCTTCAGTCAGTCGTTGACGAATCGTCTGCCGATGGACTTTCCGCCCCAGCAGCCGGCTGGAATCGCTTCATGGACGGGCTACTCGCGGTCGATGAGTTTTCCGCCCCCGCCTCCGGCCGGAACGACTGCCGGTTTCCTCGCGAATCACATGTGCTACAACTTCGGCGGAAGCAACTCGCCGGTTCGAAACTTTAGTCTTTGTTCAAATCCGATAGCCGGTTCGAATTCGTCGTTCTCGCCGTACTCGAGACGTTTCTGAAGTCGTTGCATGCAATGGGCCAAGCTTGCAACCAATCAGGGTGCCGTATCCAGAGGCCTATCCCTCCAAAGACGAAATTCGTCATCGCTGAACTCATTTCCCGGTTTCCTTAACAGTGTATGCCAATAAAGTTTGTTTGCTCTAGCGCTTCGTCATCTGTGATAAAGGTCATTTCGATGTTGGATTCGACACTTCCAAAGAAAACGTTGTTTGTTGTAAAGTGCATTTTTGCTGCTGTTCTTGTTGTTGATGAAAGTGTTGCAAGCGTGAAATGATTCAGTTGTTTCAGAGACAGGCGGAATGTAATAAATATTAATTAGGCGTCCAGAAACACAGGAAAACGCGACTGACCAACAGTGCCGTTTGTGAAAGCTCTAAACCCAAGGCCAAATCAATCATGCAAAATCCAAAATTGGTCATGGCTCTCTATGATGTTGCTCATCAAGGATATCAAAGAAAATATTTCTATTGAACAGTTTAAGTCTTCTGCAAGCCCACTTGACTGTCTGTTGCACTCCGCTTTCATCAAGCTGAGGATGGCAGTACGCCAGCATAAACGTACAAGTTTCAGACCTTCATTGCTTACATGCATACAAAGTCTGATAAGATCAGAAAGAAAGATGCTGCTATAACATTTAAAAACTGAGAACCACAAAACACAGCACCGGTTGGGACGATCGGCCAATGTGTTCAAAAATTAATAATACAATGAACGCTGTCACTCAAACATTCCATAACTGTTTTTAATCTCCGATGTCTAGAAAAAAGGGGGCGGTGCAGTCAGCCCCTAATGTAAAGTGAGAAATTCATTTTCCTTTCTTTACACTGTGCACTCGCCGCCTGAATCCGGTATCATTATCAGTTTTAGTCATATTATGACCATGATTATAGTGTTATGCGTTATTCTACTGCATTAAAACTTGCCGTTAAATGAAGGACTTTACACCGTTCCATTTCGCTGTTGACTTGAACCGTGGATTAAGAACGGAGACCACTAAC